CGACTGTCACGAACTTGCAATAACGGACAATAAACTGTGCAGAAACACCTGAGCAACTATCAGCTCATCAATACGGATTCTACTCCAATGAGTTATTTACACTAATAAGACACTGAACAATAGCTTCGGTAGAATCTAATTGTAGAAACACTGTAATATCCGCGGATTATTAGAAAGGCTTTAAGTAATCCGCTGTCATTTAAGGTTTACAACACATATGAATAATTTAATTTCACAAACAAGACTAACACTATAATATGGATTACAATAATTAAATTTCGTTTCGTACATGTGAGTCTCTGTTTATTATGCATACCTGTTGTTAACCAAGAAGCTCGTTTCCCAGAGGGGTTGCTCTGAGAACAGAAAATATTTTAAAAATACATCAGCCTATCTACAAGGCACTATACGCCTTCAAACATGAGTACCCTACCACTTGGAAATAAAAGAAAAGACTAATTGTGCGGATAAAGTATTCAAGGCACTTTCTCCAATAATTTTAACAAGTAATTAGGTATAAATTTAATATGCTTGTAAATGCAAGTGTTTCTCGTTCCTAGCTATATAAGAAGATTTGTGCGCTCTTTCAATTTAATTAGGCCCTCTACTTTCACTTGTGTAGGCATTCTCGCAAGTTAACAGAAAACATAAAAACGACGGAGCGCTGATGTAAATCAAGCACGTGTCTCTTTCCCGGCAATGAAACACCAGAAGTAAGACGTAGATAAATGCAGATTAGTTCTTTAGCTATTCAGCGAAAATAATAAACAAGGCTGGAAAGTTGTACGTTAATTTGGGACGTTCAATGTGATTTTCCACAGATCAATGTCCCTTAACTAATACAGAAAGTTAAAATGCGGATATGTGTTTGTACTGGTCGAGAAGGGATATATCGATTTGCACCAAACGTGGTATACGTGTTCTTTGAGCGCAATAAAACGACACAAGATAGTCAAAAATCCGGATAAATATCCTGAGTTCGATTACCAGTGACGGCAATTCCTGTAGCTAAGCACGAAATAAAAACGGCGCAACGAACAATGTTTGATTCGACGAGGAGATTATAGAAACTAAGGTCACTAACCCGAAAACTATTCTGCGTTCGAGTTTAGGTGAAGATGTTTTATGGCCATTTTCCCCCGATATTCAACGACACATATCGAATGATCGATCAGGCGTATGTTAAGCTTTCAGGCAATAAAGAAAAAAAAAAGCCGTCCCGCGACACGCCATGC